TCAATTGTAACACAGACAAACACACTCTTCCTGCATTTCTAGTTTTAACTCCTTGTGCAAACGTATCAGCCAGTTGATAAGTCAACACGCGAAAAAGAGCATTAATACAGTAAGTTTCTTTAGTTTGGTGAAACAAATCCGATTTGTTATCCAAACAAATTGGATTGGATGGAATCATGTAAAATACTGTCTCAATCACTGGGTTCACATCTTACAATTAATACCCAGGAATAACGAGCAATAGAAGACAAACCAAACTACCAGTTCATGGGATGAAATGCTTGGTCAGGTTACCTATTTTAAGCACTCTGCTCATAACCTTTAGGATGTTTGTGATCATTCAAATGAGCTGCACTTCATCTCTATAGCCACTTGGTGTTGCCCTATTCCCTTGCTTACATTATTCAAAAGTGTAAGGACTAACCAAATCTAATTAGGTGAAAAGTTAACACAGGTTTTAGTTAAAAGGTAAACATTAAACTTACATAACCAAACCAGCGTCTCAGAGCTTGGCTAAGTTTAAATAAGTGCTGACACATTGGTCTTGTGCCACAAAGTTATTTGAGTTTTAGGTGAAAAAAATAATAGTGAACAATACAGATATACAATTAGCCAGCAGAGAACTGTTTCTTTTTAAGGTACATAACATCAGTTAAATAACTGAATTGAAGTTTTCCAAAACTGAGTTTACAATCTTGTTTGTGATGTCACTGTGAGTCAACACTTAGCCTCAGGCTACTGACGAGACAATGCTAATGAAAATATCAACAGAGTTACTTGTCACAAGTAACTATTGCTCATCAAAGTTAGCTGTAATTCCTTTTCAGTGCAGCCTAATGCATCTGATCTGCTGCAGGGTAGAAACTTAGCTTAGAAGCTGCACAAACATCACATCTGTTTGCAGAGGCAGTTAGGAGTGACCAGGGCATTACCCCCTGCTTACCCTCGTATCTAGTTCTTCTGGTTCCTCTGGTGTGGTGCAGGCTGTGTTAGCACTGCCATTACACTCGGTGGTGTTGATTAACAGCGGGGAGTTTCCATTGGAAGAGGTAACAGAGAGTTTCTGGAGCAAACCAAAAAAAAAGTAAAGTACTCACATATTCCTACACATAGTACTAAATAGTACTCACTGTGCATTTGGAAAGTTTTACATACTGCGCCATTGATGCAACTATTTCCCACTGTTCCTTTAGGAACGACCACCAGGTAAGTCTCGATGCCTCTTTCCTTCAGGTAGTCACAGCGGTCACCTCCGTTCCCTGGCTCCACATCAAACTCCCCGTGAAGACACTCCATGGTGCTCTGTGAGATGTGGACACGACTGGTACAAACAAACACACTGAGTTTAAATCAGACTTCATGGAGATTCAAACAGTGACAGTATGCTGTTTCCACAAGAACGACTGAAAACTAAAACTAAAATTCTTAAAAATATGTTTTCTTACCCTGGTATCCCCCCAGCCTCCATTTTATTGGCCACTGTGACATCTGTGGACCAGACGTCATACTGCCATCGTTTCTGGCCAAGGACACCTCCCAGAACTGTGCCACTGTGCACCCCCACCCGCATGTCAACATCGGTCTGGGTTTTCTCCCGTACGTACCTGTAATCAACAACAGCACATGTTTGATAAACATACTGCTTCTGTTAGTTAGTCAGGAAAAAGAAGCTTGATAAGAGAAGCCAGGAGTGCAGTCAGCTGGTCTGATCGGCGCATATACCTCTATATTTTTTTCTTTTATTTGCATTGAATTCTACTAATTGCAGACTTTGTTGTTCTAAACATAGTGTGTGAGCAAACCTACTGACTGCTTTTTGACTGACTGAAAATAACAACCTCATCAGTAAATAATTACTGATAAATCTAGTTAAACAAATATTGACTCAATTTGTAATTACTTCTGCCTGAAGCAGTATTGCTAACCTGCAACAACTCCTTTCAACGCAGATACCAGGACTGAACAGGGACTATGATTTAATTTAACAGACACTGTCTGTAAACACCTTTGCAGACTGAACAAGACCCAGCAAAAACGAACTACATGACCTCATTATCCAGCTGCGTTATGTTGCAGCTTTAATGCACAGAGCGTCAATAACAGTCGATCAGAGCGATCAATCCTACACCGCAAACCAAATTGGTACGGCACTCCAGCTGACACAGAGTGATCTATAAAACCAGAACGGCCGGCTGTGAAACCAGGAAACACCTACAGCAGCCTTCTCCGGCTACTGGTCACCCATCCACCCTACACTCACGAGATGGCCTCGACCATGGCCAGGCCCATCATGATGGAGCAGGCAGCGTGGTCCTCTCTGTAGTCCGGCAGCCCGCAGATGCAGTAGTAGCAGTCACCCAAGATCTTGATCCTCAACTGGTGGTATTTCTGAATGTGTTAGAGAAAAACAAAGAACAACTGTATCAGTTACGTTGGTACATGGCTGTTGTTATTAGTTAATTTTTATTAATGTAAAGCTGCTGCTGTTTTTGGCTAAAATCTGAGATAAAAAATCTTGTTTTGACAGATTTCTAAGCTCCATAGTGTTTCTCTGTACCACTAGAATCTCAGTGTAGAAGCTGTGATGGAAGAAACCCTTCAGACTAAACTTAATTTAATTAAGAGCCGGAACTCATTAAAAGAGTTAGTCCTCAATGCTCATGAGGAAAAACTGCCGGTGGGTAAACAGACTCTGTGGCCACTGAGCAAACACATTCACTATGTGACGCATGAAAGAAGGGACACTTACTTAAAAATAGATCTAAAAGTCTACGGTTAATTTATGATAAATAAAAGTAATTAAAAGTATTACTGTAGTGTTTGTTATAAAAAAAAAACATTTAAATGTTTTATTATCATTATAGATTTATCTTATTCTCAAAATGTTTACTCTAGTAATGTATACTAGATTTTTACTATTTATATTAGAAAGTTGTTGTTTGTTTTTGTGAACTCACAGCAGCCAGTTTGTCAAAACGTGCGAAAAGCTCATTGAGCAGTTTGACCAGCTCCTGAGCACTGCAGGACGATGACAGCTGAGTGAAGCCCACGATGTCTGCAAACAGAATACTGGGACAAATACAAAGTATTTTTACTGAAAGGTAATCATTTCAGGGAAACAGAAAAAGAGTCAGTGATTCAACAGTGAAGTTTAACTTTATTTTCCAGAATCTTTTCCATACACTTGCATTCTTTTTTCTGTGTATGTTGAGGGAGCAATAATTCTTACTAGGAAAATTCTTAATCTGAAACATTAAGTTTAATATTTTCACCTGACTTTTGATACAGTTGTTCCAGAAAGGAGAAGCTACTTACTTACTCTAAATCAATTGTTGCTGATTGAAAACTGAACGACCTCAGAAACATATTTGGCTTATGTATTTATTCCTTTACAACACGGTTGTGTATCTCCCCCTATAGGCCCAACAGTTTAGGTGTTCTTGCTTCTCAACAAACACAGATCATATACTGGAACTCCCTGGACACCACAGAGCTGCTGCATTTTGTTTTCAATGTTGTCTGTTGTGATATGTTTTATCTTGGAGATTTAAAAGATCAGGCAGTGGTTCAGAAGCCACCAGGCCAGAACGACGGGGTTACCTGACATTTTCGTGTCTGTACATGTACATGGTGTTGAACTGCTGCATCTCTTTCTGACTGGGCTCCTTCTTCATGTCCTGAAGCATCTCATCAGCTATGTGCTTTGGGAGGATGGAGAGCAGCAGGCGTTCCTGGGGAGGACAAACACAGACACTGGGGAGGTTACACAACCCAGAGTAGGACGAACCTGGTTAATGGCCAAAAATAAGGAAATCAGTTGGGGGATTTTTGTATATGGATCTTAATCACAGATGAAAAGAAAGATCATTTCAACCTGGTTACAGAAAAAGCCATTCTCATTCACAAACCGTGATGGCCTAATGTGAGAGTTGTTACTACTTAATGAGTCACACATTGTCTATAAAATGTGGTGATTCAGTGCATTTGTATCAAAAAAGTGGCCCTCGGCCATGAGAGGCACCAATAAGGTGAGGACGAACCATAACAACAAGTTGAAGACCTGAGGGAGTCACTGCATCATAACATCTGTTATAGTTTATATTTTAGACTGAGGCTGTCACTTCAGGCACAATCAGGCCTTTAGAGCAGTGTTTCCAACCTCTTTTGAACCACAGCACACCAACAAAAATCTCACAAAAAGTATACGTAATGAAATACAATAATCTTCTAGTTTTAATGACATCATAATGGATTTAAATCTTGGCCTGTTTAGATAAAGACAATGCTGATATACTGGCAGGAATTGAAGAAACAAACACACAAAGATCTTCTTTAGCATCTGCTGCCACCTAGCAGAAGAGGATTTAATTGCTCTCCCTGTCACACATTGATGAACAAAGAAAGATTATTGGCAATAAATAAATAATAGTTTCGGGACCAATTAAGTGACATTGGCTAATTTCCATGGCCCACCTAATGATGTCTCACGGCACACTAGTGTGCCACAGCACAGTAGTTGGGAACCACTGCTTTAAAGAAGTCAAAAAACATGAGACCAAACCCTGTTGGTCCAAAAAGCTACAAAAAGGAAAATGCACACATAATGTAAATTGGTATTTACCCAAGAAATTATTGAAAGTTACCTAACAAAGAAAAATCTTAAGGGCAGGACTACAATGATTTTCTGAAATTAAATGTTATCAAACATAGCAAAGACTAAAATAAGTTGTTTTAATATACTGTACAATAAAGAGTGAATGGCTGAGGCAATCATCTCTCTCTCTCTCTCTCTCACACACACAGCCTTCACTTATATATACTAATACACCCAACTACTCAAGGCAGAAGGGAAAAATGCAAAACATACCAAAAAAATAAACCAAAACAAAACAGCAGAGCCATTTAGTTCTCAGTTACCATGGTAACCAGCAATACCCGGATGCTTCTTGATTGGTTGATGACCCTCATCTCCCAGCAGCCCCTGCTTCTCCATTAGTATTCTGGGAGTTTCTACCACCACTTGTGGTTTTATCAGTCTGCTTGTGGTCTCACCATTGTCTTCCCTCTCCTCCATAACCACCCCTGTCCCTGCTTCCTCTCTCTCTCTCTCTGCCTTTCTCCCTCTGGGTTTCTTCCTTCCTCCCTCTCTGAGGTGAAAACCATCAGCTCCAAATATAGTAGTGATGGAAGATGCCCAGTGGCCACAGATGTGGTGAGATGGGAAATCGGCTGCTAACACAATGCTAGCTCTGACCAAACACACCCATGTTCCCAGTGTTTTGTGGTTTTAACGCTGCGATTTGTTCCATTGACTTACCATACCATAACTAATAATCTCTACCTTACCTAACTTATCCTTCACATGTTAACCATTCATTCACATTTTACCCGGAGCAACAAAAACAAGATCCCTTCTCATGAAGACCACATTCTGGTCTGGGAACTAGTCCTAAAATATCAAATTTATAGAAAGGAATGTTCTGGAATATGCAACAAAAACTAAAACACACACAAATGCAGATACAAACATCACATGTGGTGTATTTGCTGACAAAGCCCAGCTATTCTGCACACTGCCGATGTACTATTTAGGGTTTGACCTCACTTCAGATGTATTTTAGGAAGGAATTCAAAATTAAGCTCTGACCCTTGTTACCCAGAGAGTAAAGCACTGGGGCCTCTGCTCCTGCAGGTCACGTTAGTTTTTAGGGTTTACCATTACTCTTGTACAGGGCTTAATTAAATGGATATAAATGCATTGTTCCAAAAATACATTGGGTCATCTAATATCTGTGTAAATAATGGAGATAAGGTTAGAGTTGATATATTCAAATATAAGAGACTCAACTGGTTTCTCTGGAAGTTTGAACACCATTGTTCTGGCTCATGGTAACAAAGTTGACCAAAATAAAACGTGACATGCCACGAAGGAAGAGTAAATACAAGCTGAACACATTTGCTTTTTGAAACCCCCATTTTATTAAAGTGAGCATTTCAGTGCTTATAAAATGGGACTTCTTCTGCCACACGGTGACTGTAGTTGTCCAACAGTCTATATATTGGCTCAGAAAGCTGATCTATTGACTCTTCTTATTCTGGTCACAATTCCAGGATCTTTCAAAGTCACACATACACACCAGAATGCTGCAGTGTTTGCCCTCTGACCTGTTGCTGACTCTGCTCCTCCAGGTTCAGCTTGACTTCTAGTGACTGCCTGGCCTCCAGAAATGCCTTCCGGTGCTTGCGGTCGGCCATGTAGTAGGACATGACGCCCACAGTAATGGCACATACATAGATGACAATGTTGGCCAGAAGCTATGAAGAAGAAAGAAACAGTTAGAAATAAGGAACGAAAGGATAAATAGAGAAAAACCTGGACAGAGTTTTCTGAGACACGTGCTTGTTTGTTCTTGAGAGGCAACTCAGTTTTATTGTCTTTTTTTGTTGTATATTGTGAATACAAGTATTGTATTTGCATGTGTTTAATTGGCTGCTACCTCGTTAAAGGGATGTTTAATCCCAAAGAGAGTGGTTAAACAAAGGTACATTAAAAATAAACAACCAACATTTGCCTTTAACACTGAGAAGAACATTCTGTATCCTGATTGTAGACGGTTGACCAAGCTGCTGGTCTAGGAGTTTTAAAATCTCTCTCATTCCCCAAGTATTTGTCTGAGTGAAGACCTTCTAACCAGCAGTGTGTGCATGTCTGTGTGTGTGTGTGGGTGTGTGTGAGTTGTTCTCGTTTATATCCTCTCTGGTTCTCTATGAACCAGATGAGTGTCTGACCTTTTATCAAAGCAACATTCAAGGATACAAATTGGCCTGTAATGCAGATGCAGACTAAAGCCTATTGACATCCAAACACATGGGATGAGACAGAGCTGAATACAGTCTCAGAATGTCAATGTTCAATGAGTGCACATGTCCTTGAACACACGAGCCACTCTGAACACGTGTTATGTAACGGCACGACAGAACTACCAGTCTTTCTACGGGTATAAAACGGTTGCTTGCTCTCGCTCTCTTCAAAACATGATCTTTTGATACACAAGATAAATCGTCTAAAACTAAGTACTGTGTTTCATTCACAGGCATTATATACAAACTAGTATTTAAAAATGATCCTTTTTAAATAATAGTTTAAAAAGTAACAGTCTTTTCTGGTCAAACAGCATGACTGCAAAAGTTACTATTTCAGAGGTTTCTATGTTTAGATCAACACTGTTCAAAATTCAGGTTCTTTTTCTGAGACTGAAGTCAAGGTGAAATTCAATATGTAGGTTTATATTATATTTTCTGTTACTAAATGAGTGTTGTGCCATTGTTGATAATTATTTAAGGGTGCTGGAGGTTTTCACATTCAAAATATCCTTTTAAGGAGAACAAGAAAAAGCAAAACTATTCTCTATTGTTTCTTCATTTTACACCAGAAATTTCTATTCTCACAAATGGTATCACATCCCCATAAAAGAAAGCCCACAGTGTTACTGTTATCACTACTGGTTTGTGGTTTGTACATCTGTGTGTATTCCTGTGTGAAGGCTGTGAGAAAATGTCTGTTAAACTGACATTTGTACACAAAACCCAGGAAAACAACATATTGATATGAATAGTAGAATCTACATCATGCAGAGCCTACATGTCTGAGGACATGAGATGATGTCTTTGAGTTAGGACCAGAGTCAAAACATATCAGGGAAATAGCCTCTGGAAATGTACACAGGTACTGGAGAAGATCCAAGTTTTCTATTTACTTTAGTCAAATGTTTCTGCTCTTTACTGGCAACACAGTTCTATTATCCAGCGTTGGCTTCCTTTTCAAAGTTCCTCTGTCAAAATCGAAGAAAAAAAACCAGGCTGCATCACAATGCTAGTTGCCTGTTCATACTTCATACGGTACTTATAATTGTATGTTGAACATCCAAAGAGAAGGGAAGCACTAGTAACAGTCTGCCTGTGAACAGGGACAACAAGGACGACCAAATGTTCTTGCTCTGAATACTAGTAACAGAACTACTGTGATCAAAACACTAGGCCAGGACAGTCAAAGGTTACACGGGTGAGTGAACGTGAGTGTGAGGAGAAATAATTTCAAGTAACCTGTAGACTGACTCAGTGAGTTATAATTTAATTTCAAGTAACCTGTAGACTGACTCCATCCTCCTAGCTCCCAGGATCCCTCTCTGCTCTTACCTGTCTGCCAAGTGCTGCTCCCTGGATGTCCTCCTGTTGTTGCTGGGCAATGGTGACCCCCAGAACCAGAGTGTGGACACCACAGGACACTGACGAGATGAGCACGATGGGCGTCAGCCTCAAAGGCAGAGTCAAGAAGAAGGAGAAGCTGAAGAAAGCCTGCCAGCCCACTGTGTCACTGGGCTGGTGGAAGCGAGCGTAGTTCAAACCCAGGTAACAAAATATCTGGGCTGCTATGAGCACCCACAGGGCGTAGGGCACCACCCGTCTGGAGATGCGGTCCGGCAGCACGCTGAAGCGACAGAGTAGGTACAGAATGATATTTGCTGCCAGTCCAACTGAAGCCACCAGCACAGTGGCCAGTTTGTCAGATGTGAAGACCACCGTGCACATGACAATGATGTAGCTGTCGAAGAGTGCGGCGAACACGACCAGCACCAGCAGGGTTTCATGTCTCTGCCGTCTGAAGTAGGTCTGATAGAGGTTCTCCAAAGACTCAGGAGTAAAGGTGAGGCGCATGAACCTGGGCAGACACAGGCAGCATCCTGAACTCCGAACAGTGACTTCATGTGTTCGTCCCACGGCCTGCCCGGGGTCAGAGGGCAGCGTCACTGAGCAGTCAGCCGAGTACTCCGCTGAGTATTCTGGTTCAGAAAAGGCTCGATTGCGAGGCATGACAGTAGCTGGCTAGCATCAATCCCTGCTCTCTGTTGAAAAGAGAAATGTTTCAGATGCACATCATCTGCTGGTTCCTCCTCTGCTGAGTAAGCGACGACTTCCTCTGACAGTCTGCATGTGGCATCGATCACAGCAGTGTGAAGTGGAACGACGTTTTCTTACATGGCTGTGTCTGTGGTCACTCCAGTCGCTGCTGCTGTCATTGACTCACTCTGGTGACACGTCCGGTGTCACAGGCACAGACTGAGCACGCCTACTCAGCAACGTGATCCCGAACAACATGCACTTTTTATTTCCTCATACGGCCTGACCACCACCCTTCCACCTTTGTACTCCGCATTTGTGTACCATGTCAGAGATGAATTCATTCCATGCACACAGACTTCCTCAATGTTGCTCATTCCCTGGGTTCAGGTAGCTTTTTTCCGATTGTTTTTGCCTTCCATGTTTCCACCTTACATGACCTAAATAAAGAGGGACACAGAACAAAGTCACAAAGCATCCAGGGCAGCACAGTCTCTGCCTCCTGCAGCTGGCTCTTCTCTAAGGAGTCATCAGTCACATTTTGTACTCCTGCTTCTGCAAGATTAAAATAATTTAATACATTTACATCAGGACAGTTCTTTTTACTATGTGCCAGAGGAGGATTTCTCATTCCATGGCAACTTCTTTGAACATTATACCATATATAGAAACTGTAGTGTTTTGACTGTAAAATTCATCTTCATAGTGTGATCCAATAAAAGGTCACCGTTCTCTTCCTTCTCCTCCAGCCCTGACCGTTTCATTTTGTTCCTCATGTGAATATCCACCACCCTATCAATGTGTTGGTATGCCTTTGTTGCTTCTTCATCACTCCAGAGGAAGTGGTCCAGCAACAGAAAGTCTGTTTTTTAAAAGTCTGAAATTGACCTAGTATCCCTTTCACCTAAAAGTATATTCACATGGACATGTAAGCTACCAGTCATCAGAGACGCATTGTAGGATTAATAAGGCGTCAGAATGCCACTGATTGTAAACAAATAGCTGGATTGTATAATGCAGTACCAAAACTCATCATATAGACCATTTACTTTACTCTTAGTGTCAGATTTAAAAGAAGCAGATGGTGGGATGAATTTCATCACTATTTCTGTCTTATAAATAAACACAGCATCAACTGTGGTAAATGACAATCTAGGAGAAAAAATACAATAAAGCACAACAGTGCAAATGTGCACTGAACAATCACACCATTACATGATTCTATGTCTATGTTTTATGATTCTATTCTAAGATATTTCTTCATCAGAAAACCCTATATAGACAATGGATACTTAATCTATCGTAAAGGTTCCAAACAGAAGGCAGCTTGACAAGTGGATGACTGATGTGTCCATTTCATAAACACAGCATCTGGGTGCAGAAAATACAAAGCAATCAGGATAATACATTTTTTTTGTATGAATTTATGTCCTGGTTTCAAGACTCACTGAAAACAACAATCAAGCATGTTCTGGAACACTAAGTGTATATTTTTTTAAATCAGAATCATCTTGATGAAGATATTTCCAGTCTTTACATCTATAGTATAAGATAAACCATGGTGAAGCAGCACTTGGATCAGTATCTCTCCCAACAGAAACAGCCTCATTTTAGCTGTAGGCCTTCACAGCTACATGTTGCACTCAGCAGGCTGTGAAAACACAGCTGTGCTCCACAGACATGTCCACTGTCTCACACACACACACACAGCCACACAGTGTCAGTGCAAATGGCTGCTCTGGCATCTCACAGCCCAGATATGGACATTATTTATCTAATAATGTGATAATGCAATTCTCCTGTCTCCTGTTTCTGTTCCGGTTTTGTCTCCCTCCATCCAGATGCTGCTGCTGCTGCTGTGGAAATCATGAAGAGGATCTGCACTGACTCTTACCTGACCAGAGCCTGACTTCACCTACTCCTTATAAAGGCAGATGGAGCGTTGAGAGAGGCCGGATAGATCCGTGTGCAGAGGCTGAGAATGCACCAGCAATCTCGGCCTGAAGGAAGGCAAACGATGGATTTGGGACGGTAGGCTCGATGAGTGCACAGCCCCCGCTACTGACTCTCTGGCTGCTGGGTGTTTTCCGCAGGAGATACGGAACAGCCTCACCACTAAGACTCACACGCTATCAAACACCGTACTTCCGTTTAGTTTCAAACTAAAAGCTTTGGTTTAAAGCCAAGTTCTCGAGGTAGAACATGTTTTACATTTAAACAATGCTATCAAAAAAGTGGACACAATGAGGCCATGTGTTCTGTTTCCAAATTTTGCCCAATGCCAATTCTCATATATAATGGCTATTAATCATACATGACCAAATTGTTTAGTTTTAACCATGTGAACAAGACAAATCATCGGAGGCCCAAATAGTCATAAGGAAAAATAGGTTGTGCAAAGTTTAGTAAGTAATTGTTTCAAATTCTCCAAAGTGCGGCATGCAAGTGTTTTGATTAAATTTTTGTTGTGTTTTAATGTTGTCATTCTGCTGCCCTGTTAAAGGGCTAAAGATCATGTGTTCCAGCCACCTAGAGTGAGCACAACATAAGAATGAATAAAACATTGCAACTTACTTTGTTTGCACAATTTAAAACCCCTGTTAGAAATAACTGGATTACACAATGAAAACCAAGCAGTAAGAGCCAAATGTGATAATGTCTCCCTAGTTTCCTAGGCTAGGCACACCATTTGCCTAAGGCTTTGTTCTATTGTACAACGCACAGCACACCATTTGCCTAAAACATTTGTAGAATTTTTTTAAGGCTTTGTTCTATTGTACAACGCACAGGTATTTAAATACAAGTCCTTGACTTATATTTTGAAATCCCATTCCTAATATTTCCGCATTGCTGCCATGCATTATGATGAACTTAACTTTACGTGTCCACTTTTTCGTCCTGCTGTATCTCCGCCCACTTCAACCATCACCATCTCTGGTCAGGATACGAAGAGTCATGTCTTGACCACAGTTAGTGTCTGGTTAAAAACTCCATAACTGTGGCCTGTGCATTCGATTGTGTTTTGGACGAGGATCCGATTCTGAACACTCATTAATAGTTAACGTTAAACATGTTGATATTTGTGTTTATTAAAATGTTATTGGTTGTCCATTGAAGTATCCCCTTTAAGGACACAATGGTCAAAACAATAGTCAATGAACCAGTTTTTACGTACATGCAATAGTTTAACCAAATATTGCTGCAATGTTGGAACAATGTTATTTTAGCAGTAGAACAATGCTATAATAGCTATAAAAAATCTTTGTTGGCGTACTTTGTATAAATGTTTGTTAATATGTGAGCTACAGTATCTTTTATTTTCTGAATATGAATATAGACTAAACACGGACTTGTATATTAAGTATTACTATTTACAACTTTTCCAATGGCACCACACTACCAGCAGACCTTTGACTGCAATAAATCCCTCGTGTAAGGCTGATGTTTTCATAGCGATCATACATTCTTAAATCAGTGTACTTTCATATGCCTCAGAAGAAATACTTATATATCTTCTAGAAAGTCAAGAGTTAGGGCAGCTGTGGATGTTGACTCTATACTGTAGCTCTTTGTTCAGTGCTTGTCTAAAACCAACTCCGGTTTCAGAGGAGCTGTGGTCCACAGAGAATCACCAGACTCATAGATTCATCATTAGTAATTGATTTACCTCTGGATCCTCTGATGGTGTTTCAGTGGGAAATGAATTACCACAGAGACCATCTTGTACCATAATTAATAATCTGTGTGCTTCAGTAAAGAGAGCCTATCAAGAGCCTTGTCTGCTGCATGCTGGGAAGTATTTCTCTTCCAATTTAATTCTAGTGACAGAGGCAGTCTTTTCTAGACTTTCAGTGGAACGCCCATGAAGCGCTGAATTTGGCTAAGTTGTATTGCTTAGAAACCATTGTCAATAATGTGAGAATTCAAGTCTATGTGTGACCTACACGTGCTTGAATTAACGAACAATTCATAATGAGTCATTTGTTGCGATCAGAATAATAACATTCACAACAAATTATACAAAACCTACTGATCCCTAGAAAAATAACTATTTCACGACTAGTGCTTAAAACATGTTACACTTTCTAAGTTGTATACATAATGTACAAGCATTACCCAGGTTAAGCACATTCAAAAATATCATCAAATTAAAATGTTTATCACCATATTAAAATTGTACTGTACTGTTGTAGTAAAAATATTAACTTACTACAATTATCTCAATTACCTTAACTGGAAAGCTACATGCTACATATAAAAAATAATATGACAATACAGACCATAAAGTTAAAAAGATAATAAAAAATATATAGTATAATTAAAATGCAGATGATCCACTGTGGCGTACCCTAAAAGGAACAACGGAAATATTAAATACCAAAAACAAAATAATGCAAAAATATTTAATATGTTTAAATAACCATTTGCCACCACAAAATATTTTACATAGTGGAAGCAATAAAGTTATTTTTATTTTTTTTATAACCACGAGTACATACGTCTTCTTGCCGACGTCAAGACGCACGGCACGCTAATCCTGCGTTGCTGACGTGTACGTAGGGAAGTGGCTATCGGCAGTTTTTAGCTGTTAGCTTTTAGCTTGCCTTCTTCATGGTGAGTGATTGTCTTTGACAGGGGGTTGTGGAATTATCTGAGCCCGAATTAACTTGCCTCGTCCCATTGCGGAGCATTATTGACCGGAATCAATTCTGCCGGTAAGAGAGTTTCAAAGCCTTCACTCTCTGGTCACTGCTAACAGGCAAATAGGCTAACTGCAGCTACCTTTAGCAGGTGTCTGCAAAGAACAGATGGAGACATATTTACAGAGACATTTCTGTTCATAACAGCTAACAGTGGGGGCCACGGACAAAGAAAACAATCTGTTGCATAAATTTCGTCTTCAGGGCATTTACTGAGTCCTTTGTTTTGATGTATTTCAGTCCCTGTGGTCTGTGGATGAGAGCCTCAGCAGCTGATAACATAGCCAGCTGCAGTCGGTGTCATGTCAGGCAATGAATGGTTTCCATATGTCTCTTCATTAACATAAAGTAAAGGGAATAAACGACGGAATAAAACACGAGACTCATTAATAAGACACTAGACTCATGAATTCATAGTACAGGGTGTATAGGGTGGAACATTGACACTAGACTCATGAATTCCTAGTACAGGGTGTATAGGGTGGAACATTTTGGAAAGTGCGTCTTAAATCAGGGATTGTATGTGACAGAAGTAATACAGCAATTGTATAAGGTTAGGCTTACAAGAGAGAGGGGCAGTAAGGGACTTAAGGGCAATAGTCAAGATTAAAAACATTAGAAATGGGCATATCTGAGTGAGAGTGGGTGTTGAGGTGGAATTTGAGACGCATAAAAACAAACACATTAACAGGACCCACATCAAAATAACTTTATTATTTGTTCTTCACAGGTGCGATTAGATGCAGTAGCTTTATGACGAACTGCTAGTGCTGGACACTTAGACAATGGGGAAAAAGAGAGTTCCAGATTTGTATAGGGCTCCTTTTCCCTTATACTCCATTAAAGTAGACCCCAACACAGGGCTGGTGATTACAGCAGGAGGAGGTGGGGCATCCAAGACTGGCATAAAGAATGCAGTGGTGAGTACTGAGCATATGAGTCAGTGTCAAAAACATGCTTATAAAAAGCTTATTACAGCTCTTTATATGGAGATACTCTGTTTTGCAGCAATTCCTGGATCTACAGCTGGTTGGAGAACACCAGTACAGTGCTAGCCTCCTTCACTCTCATGACACCGACACATTTGCCACAATGAACATTGCTGTAGGCGATGGTGTCATTGCAGCAGGACAAGACGGGAACTGCTGCCTGATGAGTTTCAAACACATCGCACAGAAAGAAAGAAAAGCTTCTTCTGCTAAAGATGGTGAGCCTTGATGCTGCAACTGTGGTGAAAGCAACACAGTTACAGTGGTTTCTTCTAAATTCAATTAAAACTAAATTTAAAATCAAGTAATCCGCCTTGAGATAACATCTGCCTGGTCAGGTGTCTTGTGCATTTAGTTAAAGTTTGTTGTGTGCGCAGCAGGGAACAGCGAGCAGCCCAGTAGTGCCAGGCGACGAGCTGTTAAAGGAGAGAAAGGTGAACAGGATGGAGCGGCAGCCTCTGAGGGCATGTCAAATATGAAGGACGAGACTGTTCACATCTCTGTCAAGGCTGTGGGTCAGGTTCAGTCAGACGCCAATCCCCAGGACCCACTCCAGAAGGTGGTCCGCTTCAGTCCTGACCTAAGCCTCCTCCTGACAGGAGGAACAGATGGACACATCCGAGTCTGGGAGGTGAATACTGACCCATTTATTTTAACAGCACTTAAATGTGTAAAGTTTTCGAATCAGGTTGGACAAATTTTGTAACTTGCTCCACACTGCACACAACACTGTATGGTAGTCAAAATTAACTGCAAAGCTTTTATCTGTTTTTTTTGTTTTTTTTGCACAGTTTCCATCACTAAAGAAGAAGTTTGATTTTAAAGCACATGAAGGAGAAATGGAAGACTTGGACATGAGTCCTGGAAATAAGGTGAAACACTGACCCCCTCTGGTTAAGACATTAAAAGTTGACTGGTGCACTGTGGTATGACTTATGGCTAACTATTCTTTATGTTGTGTGCCGTTCCCAAACAGCACCTGGTTACAGTCGGCCGGGACTTTGCCTGTAGTGTATGGAGTGGAAACCAGTTAGCCATGGGCCTGAAATGGCATGAGACGCTGCCTCAGATGTCTGAGAAGACTTACCGATACATGGCTTGCAGGTCTCCTCAAGTGGAACATTGTACCAGATGTTTACATCATTGGATCAATACAGATTATATGGTTGTTTTTCTTGGGTTTAAGGTTTGGTAGAGTAGAGGACCAGAAGGATGCTCTGAGGCTTTACACTGTGCAGATTCCTCACAAAAGAGACAGAAAACCTCCTCCGTGCTACCTTACTAAGTGGGAAGGCAAGAGCTTCCTGCCCATGCTGACGGCGCCCTGTGGAAATGAGGTCATCTCCAGTCTGGCTGTCAGGTATCTGCTCTGTTCGGATAGTTTATCTTATATCATCAGAGACATAAAAATACTACATTGTAGTTACTTTGTGCTTGGTACGAAATTAGGACTTTCCACCTTCACATATAAACCTGTACTACAGGATCTATCTATCATCATGTTTTTACTGTTGTACTTTAAAGGTGAAATTCAGGGTCTTAAATTCAGTGAAATAAAGTACAGATAAAATATTGCAGATAAACTGGAACCTCTTTACATTGTATGATTGTATGAAAGAGAAGAAATTGCACATCCAAACCCAGAGCTTAATTTATGTGAATAAACATGTAAAATGCATTTATCTTTTTTTATATCTTTACTTTATCAGTGACTCAGGAACATTTCTTGGACTTGGAACTATAACAGGATCAGTTGCCATCTACATTGCATTCTCCCTTCAAGTAAGGACATGTTTCAAATTAACATCTTCCTAAATTAACCATGGATCCCACCCTGCTGTATGACTGTAAATGGCTTCTTTTTTCTGGTTTTGTGCAGAAGCTGTATTACATCAAAGAGTCTCATGGCATTGTTGTCACTGACCTGGCCTTCCTGCCTGACACACTGAAAGGAAAATCCATCAAAGGAAACAACGAAACGGCCATGTTGAGTGTGGCAGTGGACAGTCGTTGTCAAGTCCATACTGTTTCCAACAGAAGTAAGTCTAGTCTCCTCATCGTTTCATTATTAGACCGTTTGTGTGCACTAAAACCCTGTCGGCTCATCTTTCGTCCATTTGCTCTGTCTTTGCTCCAGGATCTTTTCCTGTTTGGTTTGTGCTGTTTTGCTGTGGCCTTATGGTGGTGGCTGTCATCCTGCTCCTTCAGTACGTCTTTCCTGGATTTATATGAACTACAAAAAGCCTGATTGAGCACAGATAAATCCTCACATGGATGACTTCACCAATGTGGACTTCAGCACAACTCAGCGCAGCACCACTACTCCCAGCTGAGTGCTGACTGTGAACAGTTTTTTCGGTGCCCTCAGGTCTAACTCCAGGTTGTTCCTGTCAGATTGGTGAACCCAGTGAAATCACGGCTGGACAGACTGTGGCATTTTATCATTGTTTTCAAACAGTTAAGTCTTAATCTTGTTTGGATTTCTCATTGGATATTTGAAGGACTCGGGTTCATGATTGTTGGAAGCGTGAAATCTTTTTAATTATGTATTTAAGAAATGATGGAAAACTATATTATTAATTGGCACACTGTGCCTGAGTGACCCTGCAATGCTCGTTATTTTCTTGTATAAAAAAACATGCAACACCCTGAATTTAAAAATCATGTAAAGGTAAAAACAAACATGTAAAAGAGGAAACAGTGTTTAAGTGGATGAAAAAAAAACATATTTTTACCAGAAAAAAGTTGAGTATTCTCTTCTTTTAATAATCAATCATCATGTCTTATATAAATACATGACAGCGCAGCTATGGAGACAAATGTGAAGATGAAGCTAGTCTAACTCTGTCTGACTTGGTGAAGAACTGGAAGAAATAAAATAGAACTTCATAAAAAGCTGCTTCTTTATAATGTTTATAATAGTAAATTGTAGCTTAGCTCACGTTTGTATAGTTAGTTCATCAGTCACAGTACAATTGACATACACTAAGTGACTGTTGGATAAACAAATACATTAGTAAACGTTTAACAATGGGAGACAATTTTATTAATTTAGAAACACCCAAGACAAAAAGATAAACATTAATCAGAAGTTATTTGAGAAAAGACTATGCTAAACAAAACACATCTTAAATTCACATTTATACTGGGATGTAGCTTATTGCTTTAAATCATTCTTGGTGTCCACAGAATAAAAATGTTTTCAACAAAGAAAAAGTTCTTGAAAAAATACAATTTACTTCATTAAGATATGGTACAGTTTACGGACTGTTGGTTTTTGTCCAGCAGATGGCGCTGTATGTCTGAATTTGGTCCAAAGGGGCACATCAGCCGTACAGTTATAATATAACTCCTCTATAACGTAATAATAAATAACGGTCTCAGTATCAGGTCGTTTTTGTAATCTTCGTAGAAAATATATTGTAATATTGTATTGATCTGTTATAAAATATATTTGTAGATATGACTCATAGAATATCTCAAAATCTCGACAAAAAACTTTTTTTTCAGGAAAAACTACAAGAGAATAGTTAGCTGATGTGGAGCTCTGTTTAACACTTACATCTGTGTGTTGGAGCTGTGGTTTGAAGTTGAACCATTTACTGGTGCATATAGAGTTGGAAAGAAGTGAGCCAGACTTACAGTTGCTGACAGGTGCCTTCTTTATCATTTGACTGCAGACCCTTAAATCAGGACACTGTTGTCGACATACCTCATGGCACTCTGCTAAACGTCTGCATGCTTTCTAATATTCATTCACATTCTTAACTTCAGTTTTGTCACACCCATCACATTTTGCATGCTTGCACATGCTGCAGGCTTATGTGGTTGCACTGCGTGATGACACTAACTAACACACAACAAAAACAGCATCCTAACTGGGGCTGATGCTAATGTTAGTGCTGGTCATTCATCAGAAAAAGTTGTAAAGTCCAACCCCAGGGTATTTCCTGTCACATGGTTTACCTCTTCACATGGGTAAACCAAGCCAATTGCCCTGGGTGTCAAATATGAGACATAGGTGTCTGATTGGCTAGGGACCACGCTCCTTGATCAAGTACTGGGACAGGACTCTAGACCCAACTGTGTTTCTGCAGGGATCCTGCCTACCCCAGCTTTAATCCACCCATGGTAACGACTGTGGAACCGTCTTTGAGTTGATGTTATTTTACAGCTGAGATTCTCGTCTCCACCCTATACAATAGATTGAATGGAACCACATGGATGTAATTTAGTTTGTCATGTTCCTATCACTGAAAGAACAAAAACATCTGTCGCCTTTGCCCCTGCCCTCTTTATTTGTGAAAACACAACGCACGACAACACCAGAGTTCTGAACGCCCTCAAAGGTGTGAGGCAGAATACATCTGGGACACGTGTTTCCACTGTTAAACCTCTGCTGCTGTTACCTTACTTCTAAGGATCAAGCATTTTAAATTATGGAGAAGGAAAATAACTAGCTTTTTTTTAGATGAGAACGTGTCCTGGGGTCAGAAGCGTATAAAATACCAAATGTCTTTCAAAAGGAATTTCAGTTAAGTGAGCGTCAAGATAATATGAAACAGGCAAGTGAGAAGGAGATTGGCTGCCAACATGACTTCGTTGGATATTGCAATCTACAGTCCATACTTCTGGTAAACACTTCCTCCCAAATATGTGATGACTCCATGACCTAAGTTGGGGTTGAAACTGAGATGAATTAAGAAGGCATGTAACAGATAGGGATGTGAGCATGTAGAGCCACAGAGCAGGAAGTAGGTAAGACCTACTATAATAATAATTAGGTGAGTATCCAAGATTACTGACAGGAACCAGGTTTAAGAAACCCCACAGGAAGTAACACACAGCGCCAGCGCCACCTCCTTATGAGTGTGAGTGTAAATGGTTGTTTATTTCTATATGTGTCCCTATGTCTGAGTGTGGAGCTGTAGGTAAACTCCACCCTTGACCTCTGGGAGTTTCTCAGCTCCCCCACGATCCAGAAAAAGATTAAGTTATTAAAGATAAGGGAATTAAAGAAGTATGCAATAGTTTTCTGCCTAAACTCAGCGTAGCAAAATTTGAAAGGCACCACGTCAGTGAGTGACGCTCAGTCTGTTCCAAAGGAGGGGAAAAAAAAGTTAATTTTTATTTCCTGTAGACCATGGGAAATGTTACATTTGTACATTTGGAACAGGAAAATATTTGAACGTTCCTTTCATTGTTGTTTCAGTATCTAAAGTTCACAGGTTTGGAGGTTAAAGTCTCAACAGGAGGTGGAAGAGATTACTGTGACGTAGGAGGACATTTGCCAAGAAAGAGATCACATTTCTGGACCAAAACATTGAAGGTTCCTCTGGTGCACTGTGATGGTGTTATGACAACATTTTTTGCCGAGCTTGCGATATGGACTTTATGAAGAGGCCAATGATAATATGTAAAAAAAAAAATAAAAAAGATGAGATTCAAATGACCTCAAGCAGAAGGCTTTTGTTTTTAAACCTGACTTTGAATATAGATATGATCAACACTATTATTTCTGCTAAAAGCACAAGAAGCATTTGAAACCATGGTCATATGCATGTGTGTATATTAATAAATGTAAAGTCACCTAGTTTAGTTTGCACCGTGTGCTGCTGGGATTAACACTCTGTGCAGTTAATTGGGCACAGGTTTGGAGTTATTAAGTTAATGATTTTTCTGTGATTCTGTGATTGTCCCCCAGTGTTCAGGCCACGTGTGTTACAGTGGGAGAAGAGTGTGCTGATGTGTTCCATCCCCTGAGGAGGAGAATACCTGGTGCCACTCTGGCTGCTCCTCCTCCACACACACACTCT